AGAGTCCACCTGGATTGTCCCTTCGTGACCGGTGAAGTCCAAGTCGCCATCAGGGAAAAGCCTTTTTCCATGCCTGGAGTGCAACTTCTCCTGGGCAACGACTTGGCAGAAGATCTGCAACCGTCCAACCTGATCATCACGGACAAACCCCAGGTGTGTACCTCTGTAATGGATAATCCCATCTTTGAATATGTTCCAGTAGAGGTCGAAGAAAGTGATGAAATTTCTCCTCCGGTTTTGGTGACCACCCGTGCACAAGCTGCACGACCGCAACCAGCTAACTCTACTACTACCGCTGTCCCTCAAGACCCTCAGAATCTACCTCCAAATCTTACCAAGTTGGAGTTCCGTAGGTTACAGAGGGAAGATCAATCATTAACACCATTATTCTTCCCGGCTGAGACTCAACCTGACAGTATCCCTGGGTTCTTCCTAGAGAATGAGTTGCTCTACCACAGATACAGACCCAGTAAGCTGAAGGAGGATGACAATTGGGCCAATGACGAACAACTAGTGATTCCCACCAGCATACGGCCCGATATTCTACACCTGGCTCACGGAGCTCTTTCTCACTACGGTTTTAACTAAACCTACCACGGAATCAGACAAGACTACTACTGGCCAGGTATGGTAAAAGATGTCAAAAAGTACGTGCAACCGTGTCATACATGTCAGATGGCAGGTAAACCTAACATCTCTATTCCCCAGGCTCCATTAAATCCCATCCAGGTGCCTGCGGAACCTTTCCACAGACTCATCATAGACTGTGTTGGTCCTTTACCCCGGACCAGTTCTGGCAACGCCTATATACTAACTATCATGTGTCCTACCACCAGATTCCCCATAGCAGTTCCAGTAAAGAACATTACGGCTGCTACTGTGGTGAAACTATTGCATGTAAGAACAACACACATGCTATACTAAATAGTTAAAATTCCATTTCAATGTTTCTGATTGCATTGATAAATTGAATTTTGATAGATTTGGATTTATTTTCATTTTGACTTAATTATTTTGTGTGAATTGCGTTGGAATTGAGCTGTGTTGTTTACCATACCGTTCATTTCATGAGTATAGTTTATTTTTTTACTTTTTCTTATTTTCATTTCACTTTTTAACTGTTTTTCTTATATTTCAGTGATGGAATTATCAGATCACTTGATGTTCCCAATTTTCTGATGGGAACATCAGACCATTTGGGAAGGCATCAGACAAGGGAGTGGGGAATGGTGGAGATGACGAGAGGGACGGAAGTGACAGATGGTGGGAAAGACGACCCAATAATGAACTATGGTACTACACCACCACCACCATAACACATAGACCCAATAATGAACTAAATACTGCAGTACCACCATAACACCAGGACCCAGTAATGAGCTATGGTACTACACCCCACCATAACACCAGGACCCAGTAATGAACGATGGTACTATACCACAACCACCATAACACCTGGACCCAATAATGAACTATGGTACACCCCTTCCATAACACCTAGACCCAATAATGAACTATGGTACACCCCTTCCATAACACCTAGACCCAATAATGAACTATGGTACACCCCTTCCATAACACCTAGACCCAATAATGAACTATGGTACACCCCTTCCATAACACCTAGACCCAATAATGAACTATGGTACACCCCTTCCATAACACCTAGACCCAATAATGAACTATGGTACACCCCTTCCATAACACCTAGACCCAATAATGAACTATGGTACACCCCTTCCATAACACCTAGACCCAATAATGAACTATGGTACACCCCTTCCATAACACCTAGACCCAATAATGAACTATGGTACACCCCTTCCATAACACCCAGACCCAATAATGAACTATGGTACACCCCTTCCATAACACCTAGACCCAATAATGAACTATGGTACACCCCTTCCATAACACCTAGACCCAATAATGAACTATGGTACACCCCTTCCATAACACCTAGACCCAATAATGAACTATGGTACACCCCTTCCATAACACCCAGACCCAATAATGAACTATGGTACACCCCTTCCATAACACCTAGACCCAATAATGAACTATGGTACACCCCTTCCATAACACCTAGACCCAATAATGAACTATGGTACTACAACACCACCACCATAAAACCTAGACCCAATAACGAAATATGGTACAACCGCACCACCACAATAACACCTAGACCCAATAATGAACTATTGTACTTGACCACTACCATAACACCAGGACCCTATAATGAAGGATGGTACTTGTTACGGCCACTATGGGTCGCAACCAGGTTCTTTGCTGGAGGAACCAAAGTACTAGTATCCGACCCCAAATCGGTAGAGGCTTTAGAGGAGTAGGCTTGGTAATGAAGTAAAACAACATGGGGGGAGGGTTGAATGGAATACGACACTTCATCCTTTATCAATATATTCACATATTATGATTTTCCCATCACCTTAAATAGAATCATAAACTAAGTATTACTACACTGATATATACACGTGTGTCTCTTCCATAGGACACTAAGCGCTCCTCGATGCTCATACTATGCAGCCTTGTCAACTTCTGTGTTTCCTCAACACACAGTACCGTCCTCAACCAGTACTGGGAAACACCAACGAGTCTACCCTAGCCATGGGCCAGCCTATCTACAGTATCACTAGGTGATTCTTGTGAACGCCCACAATCACTCTCCAGCCTGGTGCTGACAGAGAACATCAGCCTCGCACTGCTGGGCCTCTACACGAACAAATACAAGGGTAGCGAACCCCTGGCAGGAGCTTCTTGCAACTAGCTAGTTACACTCCTCCGTAGCACCTCACTGTCGGTCGTCTCTTCCTCCAGCCAGTCCCGGGATACACCGAATTCTGTCACTGCCACTTCACAGGCAGACAGCAGATACTACTCAGTTCCTCTTCGGCGGCGGCTCACTGCTCACGTAAAGCAGGATAGAGTAGAGAGATAATAGGCTGCCCTGGGTAGACTGATTGTCTCCGTACCCCTGCAACCCTACGGAGCCTCTGTGGATACATACACGTCATCAGTAAACTGGCCGGTACTTGTGAAACTAGGACATGCCACTTACGGACTCTGACATTGACATACAACTTTTATCACGATAGATGGCGCTGATTTCTAGGCGCCAACTCACCAGAGGTCAGTTGCAGCGACTCTTCGGGCTGACCAAGGCAGGAATCTAGAGTCTCTTGCAAGTATCGTACTGCCACCACCAGATGTCGTCGTCCATTTTGTGGGGGTTTAGGGAGCGGACTCACCGATGGCTTTGACGTCGCTGCTCCATGCTCCGACGATGGAGTCGGGTTTGTAACAGTACTGCACCACCACCATAACACCAGGACCCAAAATTGAACTGTGGTACTTCACCGCACCGTAACATCTAGACCAAATAATGAACTATGGTACTACACCACTACCACAATAACACCTTGACCCAATAATGAACTATGGTACTACACCACTACCACAATAACACCTTGACCCAATAATGAACTATTGTACTACACAACTACCATAACACCAGGACCCACTTATGAACTATGGTATTACACCATCATAATATCACCAGGACCCAATAATGAACTTCGGTACTACACCTCCACCATAACACCAGGACCCAATAATGAACTATGGTACACCCCTTCCATAACACCAGGACCCAATAATGAACTATGGTACACCCCTTCCATAACACCAGGACCCAATAATGAACTATGGTACACCCCTTCCATAACACCAGGACCCAATAATGAACTATGGTACACCCCTTCCATAACACCAGGACCCAATAATGAACTATGGTACACCCCTTCCATAACACCTAGACCCAATAATGAACTATGGTACACCCCTTCCATAACACCAGGACCCAATAATGAACTATGGTACACCCCTTCCATAACACCAGGACCCAATAATGAACTATGGTACACCCCTTCCATAACACCAGGACCCAGTAATGAACTATGGTACACCCCTTCCATAACACCAGGACCCAGTAATGAACTATGGTACACCCCTTCCATAACACCAGGACCCAGTAATGAACTATGGTACACCCCTTCCATAACACCAGGACCCAATAATGAACTATGGTACACCCCTTCCATAACACCAGGACCCAATAATGAACTATGGTACACCCCTTCCATAACACCAGGACCCAATAATGAACTATGGTACACCCCTTCCATAACACCAGGACCCAATAATGAACTATGGTACACCCCTTCCATAACACCTAGACCCAATAATGAACTATGGTACACCCCTTCCATAACACCAGGACCCAATAATGAACTATGGTACACCCCTTCCATAACACCAGGACCCAATAATGAACTATGGTACACCCCTTCCATAACACCAGGACCCAGTAATGAACTATGGTACACCCCTTCCATAACACCAGGACCCAGTAATGAACTATGGTACACCCCTTCCATAACACCAGGACCCAGTAATGAACTATGGTACACCCCTTCCATAACACCAGGACCCAATAATGAACTATGGTACACCCCTTCCATAACACCAGGACCCAATAATGAACTATGGTACACCCCTTCCATAACACCAGGACCCAGTAATGAACTATGGTACACCCCTTCCATAACACCAGGACCCAGTAATGATCTATGGTACACCCCTTCCATAACACCAAGACCCAGTAATGAACTATGGTACACCCCTTCCATAACACCAGGACCCAGTAATGAACTATGGTACACCCCTTCCATAACACCAGGACCCAGTAATGAACTATGGTACACCCCTTCCATAACACCAGGACCCAGTAATGAACTATGGTACACCCCTTCCATAACACCAAGACCCAGTAATGAACTATGGTACACCCCTTCCATAACACCAGGACCCAGTAATGAACTATGGTACACCCCTTTCATAACACCAGGAACCAATAATGAACTACGAACTCAAACCAGGGCCCAAAAATGAGTTCGTAACCTACGTTAACTTCATGTCCACAGCTGGTGTGCCAGATCGGTGCCGCTGGTGTAGGTGTCTCCCTCCTGGTGTTGACAGCTGTCACCTTCACCGCCTTCGTCAGCGCTGACGTCCATCACTGGACCCAACCTGCTGGCTTCTTTCCCTATGGTCTTCATGGGGTAATGATCACAACATGAAAGATCCTTGTAAATTTTTGTTTGTTGCAAGTATTTCAGCAGCATGTAAACTGATTTTGTCTACCCATCTCTGTCCATCTACATCATATCCCAGCTTCTTTTCTTCATATCCCAGCTCCTTTACCTTATATCACTGCTCCTTATCCTCATATTCCAGCTCCTTGCCCTCATATTCCAGCCCCTTGTCCTCATATCCCAGCTCCTTGTCCTCGTATCACAGCTCATTGTCCGCATATCCCAGCTCATTGTCCTCATATTCCAGCCCCTTGTCATCATATCCCAGCTCATTGTCCTAGTATCACAGCTCCTTTACCTTATATCCCAGCTCCTTGTCCTCATATCCCAGCTCATTGTCCGCATATACCAACTCATTGTCCTTATATCCCAGCTCATTGTCCTTATATCCCAGCTCATTGTCCTAGTATCACAGCTCCTTTACCTTATATCCCAGCTCCTTGCTTTCATATCCCAGCCAATTGTCCTCATATCCCACCTCATTGTCCTAATATCCCAACTCATTGTCCTCATATTCCAGTTCATTGTCCTCATATCCCAGCTCTTTATCCTCAAATCGCTCAATTATTTATTTTAGATAACACCTTAGTTAAAGGGTAAGGTATATTTGATAAACTGTCATTAATACGGATTCAAACCTATGCTCGAAGTGTTGGAACTTATGTTTAAAGAGTTTGAACCTATGTTTGAAGGGTTTAAACCTATTTTCGAAGGGTTCGAACCTATATTTGATGGGTTCGCATCTATGATCGAACGGTTCGAACTGATGTTCCAAATGTTCGAACCTATGTTCGAAGGATTCGAACCCATGATCGAAAGTTCGAAGCTGGATGTTCCCAGACGCTCTCCAGTCAACATTATTACTTATCAATATTAATATTTGTATTATTACAATAATATTAATAACAATATTATTATTAACATTACTAGTATTGGATCACACTAAAGACATTGTTAACGGGGTCATTTGGGCCTAACGACCCCTTATACGTAATCACTGTTGCGAAGAGTGTGAGGAGATGGGTAATTATGAGGAGAAATGGGTAATAGGGGAATGGGTAATTCACATTACTCCAGAGAATGAGTAATTTATAAGGAGAAAGTGTAAATCAATATGACTATATAGAGCGTTTGTAAAGGGATGTGAGGGCAGGATAGGTGCTGAGGGTATGAGAGCAGAATAGGTGCTGGGGTATAAGGGCAGGATGGGAGCTGGGGTATGAAGGCAGGATAGGAGCTGGAGTATGAGGGCAGAATAGGATCTGAGAGTATGAGGGCAGGATAAGGGCTGGGGTATGAGGGCAGGATAGGAGCCGGGGTATAAGGGCTGGATATGAGCTAGGATATGAGGGAAGGGTAAGGGCTGGGGTATAAGGACAGGTTAGGAGCTGGAGTATAAGGGCACGATAGGAGCTGGAGTATGAGGGCAGGATAGGTGATGAGGGTTTGAGGGCAGGATAGGAGCTAGGGTATGAGGGCAGGATAGGAGCTGGGGTATGAGGGCAGGATAGGAGCTGGGGTATAAGGGTTGGATAGGAGCTGGAGTATAAGGGCAGGATAGGAGCTCGAGTATGAGGGCAGGATAGGTGCTGAGGGTATGAGGGCAGGACAGGAGCTGGAGTATGAAGGCAGCATAGGTGCTGAGGGTGTGATGGCAGGATAGGTGCTGGGGTATAAGGGCAGGATATGAGCTGGGGTATGAAGGGGCAGGATAGGAGCTGGGGTATGGGGCAGGATAGGAGCTGGGATATGAGGGCAGGATATGAGCTGGAGTATGAAGGGAAGATAGGAGCTCGGGTATGAGGGCAGGATAGTAGCTGGGGGTATGAGGGCAGGATAGTAGCTGGGGGTATGAGGGGAGGATTGGAACTGGGGTATAAGGGCAGGATAGGAGCTGAGGTATAAAGGCAGGATAGGAGCTGGAGTATGAGGGCAGGATAGGATCTGGGGTATGAGAGCAGGATAGGAGCTGAGGGTATGAGGGCAGGATAGGAGCTGGGGTATGAGGGGAAGATAGAAGTTGGGTATGATGGCAGGACAGGAGCTGGGGTATAAGGGCAGGATAGGACCTTTGGTATGAGGGCAGGAGAGGAGCTAAGGGAATGAGGGAAGGATAGGAGCTTTGGTATGAGGGCAGGATAGGAGCTAAGGGTATGAGGGCAGGATATATATAGGAGCTGAGGTATAAGGTCAGGAAAGGAGCTGTGGTATAAGGGAAGGATAGGAGCTGGGGTATGAGGGCAGGACAGGAGTTGGGGTATGACAGCAGGATAGGAACTGGGGTATGAGGGCAGGATAGGAGCTGGGATGTAAGGGCAGGATTGTAGCTGAGGTATGAGAGCAGGATAGGAGCTGAGGTATGAGGGCATAATAGGAGCTGAGTTTATGAGGGTAGGTTATATGCTGGGGTATAATGGCATGATAGGAGCTGAGGGTATGAAGGCAGGATAGCAGCTGAGGGGTATGAGGGCAGGATAGGAGCTGTGGTATGAGACCTGACCCACCGCATGGATAGATCCTCGATAGAAGGGATAGAACCTCAACCCTTCGATAATCAAGCCAGTCGCTCTACCAACCAGGCCAGAAAGATTAGAATAACAGAGTGTTTCCCTTATAGGTTATGTGCGGTGCTGCTATGTTTAGCGCAATAACAGATTGTTTCTCTTACATGTTGTGGGCGGCTCTGCTGTGTTCACGGAAAAACAGTGTTTCCCTTGCAGGTTATGGGAGCCGCCGCTATGTTTAGCTGAATAACAGAGTGTTTCCCTTGCAGGTTATGGGAGCCGCCGCTATGTTTAGCTGAATAACAGAGTGTTTCCCTTGCAAGTTATGGGCGGCTCTGTTATGTTTATTTATTTATTTATTTATTTATTTATTTATGCATATACAAGAAGGTACATTGGGAATGTGAGGATACATAATATGGTAATTACAATCTTGTAAAGCCACTAGTACGCGCAGCGTTTCGGGCAGGTCCTTATTCTAAGGAAATTTTTAGTAGGTAAATACTTGCAAAATTTATAAAAAAAAAATGATAACAGTTACATGGCAAGAAAAAAAAAGATGAGAGAAAATTGTAGGTACAGTATATTAAAGCACATAGGCAGCTAAGATTGATTGCAATGACAGCTTGAATGGTAGTTGACAAAAATTGGTAGGCACAATACAGCATATGGCTAGCACATAAAAGAAGACAGCAATGAACACAATGATAAGGTTGTTTGGGTTAAATACATAAATTAGGAGATTGGGTAACACTAGGTACAGAGCAAATTTAAAGCTCAGTGTAGGAAACTAAGAAGATGAAATTAGGTACTTTTTGGTTTTGCTTTTAAATAAGGCAAAAGTTTTACAGTTTTTCAATTCACTAGGGAGTGAGTTCCATAGACTAGGTCCCTTAATTTGCATAGAGTGTTTACACAGATTAAGTTTGACCCTGGGGATATCAAAGAGATATTTATTTCTGTTGTGGTGATAATGGGTCCTATTACATCTGTCCAGGGAGAGTTTCAGAGCATGGTTTGCATTTAAGAACAGGGTTTTGTAAATGCAGTTGACACAAGAGAATGTGTGGAGGGAGTTAATATTTAGCAAGTTTAGGGATTTAAACAAGGGAGCTGAGTGTTGTCTGAAAGCAGAGTTAGTTATTATTCTGATAGCAGATTTTTGCTGCGTGATGATGGGCTTAAGGTGGTTTGCAGTGGTAGACCCCCATGCACAGATACCATAATTAAGATAGGGGTATATTAGTGCATAATATAGTGAGAGGAGAGCAGAGTTAGGAACATAATATCTGATTTTGGAGAGTATACCAACTGTCTTAGAGACTTTCTTAGTTATGTGTTGAATGTGGATGCTGAAGTTGAGTCTCTTGTCTAGGAATAGGCCAAGAAACTTGCCATCATTTTTATTACTGATGTTAATGTTGTCTATCTGTAGCTGAATTGCATTTGATGATTTGCTTCCAAATAAGATGTAGTAAGTCTTTTCGATGTTTAATGTTAGTTTGTTCGTTGACATCCATAAGTGGACTTTTTTAATTCATTATTCACAACATTATTTAGTGTATGTAGGTTGAGGTCTGAATAGATAAGGGTAGTATCGTCAGCAAACAATATAGGTTTGAGAATATTAGAGACATTAGGCAGATCGTTTATATATATATAAGAAATAGAAGAGGTCCTAAGATACTGCCCTGTGGCACTCCAACGGTAATTGGTAGAGTGGAAGAAGTTGTATCATTGATGGTTACATATTGGTGTCTGTCACTAAGATAGGATCGGATGTAGTCAAGAGCAAGGCCTCGGATTCCATAATGCTGGAGTTTAAGTAAGAGGTAGTTGTGATTAACAGTATCAAAGGCTTTTCTTAGGTCAATGAAAAGTCCAATCGGAAACTCATTTTTGTCAAGGGCTGAGTAGATTACGTCAAGGAGACTAATGATTGCATCATTGGTGCTCTTTTGGGACCGGAAGCCAAACTGGCAGGGGCTGAGTATGTCGAATTTTACGAGGTAGGAATAGAGCTGTTTGTAAATAATTTTTTCAAATATTTTTGATAGAATGGGTAGATTTGATATTGGTCTATAATTGTTTCTGTCCGCCGGATTGCCTCCTTTATGGACTGGCGTTACTCTTGCTTTTTTGAGGATACCAGGGAAGGTGTGACACTATAGATTTGTTGAACAGAAGAGCTATGGGTTGGGCAAAGGCATAGGAGGCTCTCTTGTATACAATGGACGGAATTTCACTGGTGTTCCCTGCCTTGGTTTTTAGAGAATGTATGAAGGACACAACATCAGCCGGGCTGATTGGTGAAAGGAGAAGAGAGTTTGGATAGCTGCCTGAGAGATATGTGTTAATATGTGTCTGAGTCTGTGGGAGTCTGAGTTTAGCGGAATAACAGTGTGTTTCCCTTACAGTTTATGGCGGGGGGGGGGGGGGGCTGCTATGTTTAGCGGAATAACAGAGTATTTCCCTTACAGTTTGTGGGCGGCGCTGCTATGTTTAGCAGAATAAGAGTGCTTTCCCTACAGTTTATGGGTGGCACTGCTATGTTTAGCAGAATAAGAGTGCTTCTTTTACAGGTTATGGGTGGTGCTGCTATGTTTAGCGGAATAACAGGGCCTTTCTCTTACAGGTGATGGGTGGCGCCGCTATGTTTAGCGCCAGTATGGGCGGCGCCCACCACGCCGGCCTGCTGGGTGGCGAGTGTGGGCGGTACTCCCACACCATTGTGGGCGTGGGTGTGGGCATAGCGGCGCTTCTGGTGCTGTTTCCAGCGGCTGTTGCTGTCACTTTGGCTTCCTCCAGCCTTTCCTCCACGGCGCCGCTCCTTCAGTTGTTTCCAGGGGCGTCTCTACTGGGCATGCGGGCGGTGGTGGGCGTGGGCGCGGTGGTGGGGCTTTGGGCGGTGCTTTTGGGCGGCCTTTTGACCGGTTCCCGCCTGGCCCACAGGCTTGCCACCGACGGGCTGGCCCCCAGGTGTCTAGGCTATGTGTCCCGACACACAAGGACGCCCTGGCTGGCCGTGCTCTTCTGCGGCGCCGCAGCTGCGGTCATTGCTGCAGTTTGCTCATCGTGGGTGCTCCTGCGAGCCGCAGGTGCGGGGAGCGTGGGTGCGGGCGTGGCGGGGTCTGCGGCAGTCTTGGCCCGCAGGTATCGGCCAGACTCTTCCCCTGCGGCATGCGACACACCACCTGCGGCACTCTCCCGCAGTAGCAGCCTCGCCGCATGCGACGATATGGAGCCCCATCAGGTGACCGTAGAGTGGGCGGGAGGCTCCTGGGCCTCAGCTATCACAGAGCCGCCCGCGCCGCCCACGTGGGCGTCCTGGCGGACCGCAAGGTTCCTATTGGCCACCTTCATAGTCAACTGCGTCGCGGGCGTGGGCGTGGTTCGAGGCTCTAGGGAGCTGGATATAGGCCTGTGGGCGTGGGTAGGCGTGGGGCTCTGCGTCTGTGGGTGTGTTGTGTGTTGTGTGGGTTTGTGGCTACAACCGCGCCACCCACCGATCACAACCGCCACCACAACCGCGCCTATTCTGCCGCTCCTTGCCCTTCTAGCCAATATCCTGCTGCTCCTGCACCTGTCGCTGCTAGCCCTAGGCCTAGCCTGCGGCGTCTGGGCTACTGCGGCTGTGGCTTGGCTTCTCAAGGGACGGACCGAAAGCGTGGAGGCGGTTCTAAGCCGTGCCCTTATCACCCACAGCGGCCATCACTCCCCCTCATATCTGTAGATAGTTGGAGGCTCTCAAATGGGTGTTCGACTTTACAGAAATGCTAGCCATTCAAAAGGCTTTGGAACATGCTCTTGCTGAACACCGACAACATGTTATCATACATATAGTTTCGAGAACTGCCATTGAAACCTTACAACAAGAACACATATGTGATAACATCCATCTGATCACAAATGTCATATCATTAATGCAACCACTCAAACGATAAGGCCGTCGGGTACTTATCAACTGGGTGCCAAGTCATGTGGGAATAATAGGAAATGACATTGCAGATGAAGCTGCAAAACTTGCAACATAGAGAAGAAATGTAGACATTTACATACCAGAGTCTATCATAGATTAAAAAAGCAATTAGAAACAGAGCACTGCAAAAAATGTACAGTGACCACAACACAGCAGTTGGAACATCAGGATCTGCGGGTTGGTACAAGAATTCAACCAGCTACGAACCACTTAGTTTGATGAAAGGTAGCAGTAGAACAACAGAAGTACACTTACATCGTATCAGGCTTGGATTCCCATGTGCATGGGAAATAGGCTTACAGGTTCCGGAAGATGAGAGGAAATGTCAACACTGTGGAGAAATGCCCGACAGACCACTGGAACATTATCTAACACAGTGCAGAGTTACAAACTGCTACGGCCCTCTAGGGTCGCAATCGGGTTCTTTCTCTGATGTTGTTAGAGGTAGGGTATCCGGCCCCAAGCTAATAGTGGCTTTCAAGGGATGTGATCCGTAACGCAAGTAAATTAAAGGGGAAGGGAAATAAAGGCAAAAACTTAATAATATAATTATTACCGTCACCATAAATAATATATAAAAGGTTACACAGGGGGGGTTAAACACTATTATGTACAAAGTAGTAGTCTTCTGAAGACGCGGAGTGTTCCGCGGTGCTCGACGATGCTAAGGTCTTAGTCCTCTGGTGGCCTCACGACGAATCCTTCGATTCTCTTGAGTCTACCCTGGCCACAGGCCAGCCAAATCACAGTTCCACTGGGGGCACCGTCGTGGAGGCCATCAACCACAAGTCCAGCCGGTAGCTGGCAGGTTCCAATCAGCAACGCTGGTTAGGCCACTCCACGACCGATACTAGGGTAGCGAGCCCTAGTCAGGAGCCTCGTGTGATCCCACAGACCACTCTCCTTGCCACAACACCCCAGTGGTTAAGCGTCTCCACCAGTCAGTCCCGGGTACGACAATCCCTCAACTGCCATGTCACAAGCAGGCTAACACCACAGTGTTCATCCGGGGGGCGACTCACAGCTGCTGCAGCAAACACTTGGAGACAAGACGGCTGCCTTGGGTAGACTGATCCAACTTCCATTACAGCAGTCCCAGGTCGACTCTGTAATGAGACACGTCATCAGTAACAGGGACACTCTAGGGCACCTCACTTACAGGCTTAGACACAAACGCCCGACGTATCCACTCCATAGATGGTGTTGCTGTCTAAGCTCCACCTCACCAGAGGTCAGCAGCGGCTGTGTTATGAGCTGATTAGGACGGGAAACTAGCCCTTGTGGCCAGTATATCTCGTCCTCACTAGGTGGCGTCGTCCATTTGGAGGGGGTTTCGGGAGCTGACCCACAGATGGCGCGGTCGTCACTGCTCCGTGCTCGGACGCTGGGCTCGGGTCCGTAACACAAACCCATTAAGATTTCCACTTAGATTCAACAGAGTAGAAGAAGTTGTTAACAACTTCTACTTCTTCTTCAACAACACATATGGCAAAATCTTACTGAAGCGACCATACGAGTCATAAATTCTCATACTCCGCCCAAGTAAAACAGAAACAAGCAACACTTAGTGGGCCAGCCAGAAGCGTAGGGCCCGCGCAGGATTATCCCTGCAAGAAAAAAAATCACTCCCCTGTTGACCTGTTGTAATAACCCCTCACAACCTCACCCCTTACAGTGCTGGATTGTATTGACCTCTCCTGACTCATAGGGGTCACCAATCCTCGGATAATCTGAGGCAATTATTCTGAACACTTTTTGCAGGATGACATGTTGTTATGACCCTTCCCTGACCCCCCCCTCCCCCTAATGGTCACCAATCTCTGGTTGACAAAAGGTATTGACCTTCCCCTGACCTACAGTGGTCACTATTCACTCGTTATAGTAGTGCCCGGACCATTCACAGGTCAACAAATCTTCCAGAGACAAAGGAATCATTAGTAACTTACATATCCACTACGAAATCACTACATCTCTCATCAATAATATCGACTTAATAAGTCAAAAACTTCACAATCTGAGGATATTATTAGAATGAGCAATCCCCCGTAGAGGTTAGAGACTCTAAGAGATTGTTTAAGAAACGTGAACAAGTCAATCATACTTATTGGAAGATGTAGATGTTTCGTAAGAGGTGATGATTCTTGACCTGGAAAGTACATATTGCCTTTACATATCTTGTTTACATATGCGAGTGATTGTTTTGATAACCAGAGACGTTAGGTTACCTCAATGGGGTCGTTTCTGATTGTATGTGTGTGTAGGGCTTAGTCTTGGAGGGAATTAATACAGAGAATGTAATATACTGTTTATACATACATATACACTACATACTCATGCATGTATACGAGGCATGTATACTTATCCTTATACATACAAGGATAAGTGTAATGTATTTTATACAAACAAGGATAAGTATAATGTATTTTATGAATTGGAGTGAACTTCTGCTGGTCTCCTGAGTCAGTACTCACCATAGGCCTATCTTCTGTACATGTATCATGCAATAAATTGTTACTTAAATCAACAGTGTTTCTTTAACCAGCCAATTAACTCCTGGCAATTAAGTTAATTAAGTTAACTCTTTGCAATTAACTCGGTACATGGAAAAAATTATAAAATCTTAATAAAATAAGTGTTTTTAGGTAATTTTTTTTATAAAATCTGATTAAAATCGGTGATTCTTAGGTTATATATATATATATATATATATATATATATATATATATATATATATATATATATATATATATATATATATATATATATATATATATATATATATATATATATATATATATATATTAGTATATTTTGGTAGCAGTCTTTCCGTAGACATATATTATTAAATATGACCGAAAAAGTAAGATTAATAATTCTAACACGAATTTTCTCAATCTTTCGTACATTACGCTTCACTGTTGGAGGTAAATCAAAAATCACTTCTCCAAAATTCATTTTTATTTCTAGTCTGACGCGACACGGGCGCGTTTCGTAAAACTTATTACATTTTCAAAGACTTCACAAATACACAACTGATTAGAACTTACGTCTCTCTGATATTATATCTACATTTGAGTGAGGTGGGAAGGATGATGTGGCATTAACACAAGACACAACAGGGGATATTAATAGGGTATTAAAAGTATCAACACAAGACAGAACAGAAACAATGGGTTTTGAATAGAAGTGTTTGTAGAAAGCCTATTGGTCCATATTTCTTGATGCTTCTATATTGGAGCGGAGTCTTGAGGTGGGTAGAATATAGTTGTGCAATAATTGGCTGTTGATTGCTGGTGTTGACTTCTTGATGTGTAGTGCCTCGCAAACGTCAAGCCGCCTGCTATCGCTGTATCTATCGATGATTTCTGTGTTGTTTACTAGGATTTCTCTGGCGATGGTTTGGTTATGGGAAGAGATTATATGTTCCTTAATGGAGCCCTGTTGCTTATGCATCGTTAAACGCCTAGAAAGAGATGTTGTTGTCTTGCCTATATACTGGGTTTTTTGGAGCTTACAGTCCCCAAGTGGGCATTTGAAGGCATAGACGACGTTAGTCTCTTTTAAAGCGTTCTGTTTTGTGTCTGGAGAGTTTCTCATGAGTAGGCTGGCCGTTTTTCTGGTTTTATAGTAAATCGTCAGTTGTATCCTCTGATTTTTGTCTGTAGGGATAACGTTTCTATTAACAATATCTTTCAGGACCCTTTCCTCCATTTTATGAGCTGTGGAAAAGAAGTTCCTGTAAAATAGTCTAATAGGGGGTATAGGTGTTGTGTTAGTTGTCTCTTCGGAGGTTGCATGGCTTTTCACTTTCCTTCTTATGATGTCTTCGATGAAACCATTGGAGAAGCCGTTATTGACTAGGACCTGCCTTACCCTACAGAGTTCTTCGTCGACTTGCTTCCATTCTGAGCTGTGGCTGAGAGCACGGTCGACGTATGCGTTAACAACACTCCTCTTGTACCTGTCAGGGCAGTCGCTGTTGGCATTTAGGCACATTCCTATGTATGTTACATTCCTATGTAACAAATAAGTTTTGTACATAATAAGTTTTACGAAACGCGCCCGTGTCGCGTCAGACTAGAAATAAAAATGAATTTTGGAGAAGTGATTTTTGATTTACCTCCAACAGTGAAGCGTAATGTACGAAAGATTGAGAAAATTCGTGTTAGAATTATTAATCTTACTTTTTCGGTCATATTTAATAATATATATATATATATATATATATATATATATATATATATATATATATATATATATATATATATATATATATATATATATATATATATATATATATATATATATATATATTGGTGTATACTGGCAGCAGGTTTTCTTTCAAACATGTTTCATTGAATATGACCGCATATTCTGTATTTATTATTTTCTGGTTTAGGGCTTCTATCCCTCTAACTATTTTCTTAGCATCAGGGCTTAATTGAAATAGGAGTTCTCCAAAACTCATTTTCGTACTTTTAAGGTGAAGAAAAGAAGTGATTTACTATAGAGTGTATTACACTTATTTGTATAATTTGCACGACGTTTCGAACCTCCATGGTTCATTCTCAAGTGAACAGATCTTACAATACTACTTAGTAAGGACAAGACAAGAACATATCGATGCCAACACAGAAGACAATGTCCAACATAACAGGCCAATTACACTGGATTAATCTTTGTGTTTAGATAGGAGATGCCTCGTATGGGCCAATAAGCCTTCTGCAGCCCCTATGTTTATCCCTTATGTTTAGATAGGAGATGCCTCGTATGGGCCAATAAGCCTTCTGCAGCCCCTATGTTTATCCCTTATGTATCCCCCCATGTTTTCACCTTCATTGTATTATCACCTGACCTAATGCGGGTATAAA